GGTGGCTCTTCGCATGATACACAGTGGGATTTCTTGGTGCCTCTTCCCACCTTTCCTCCGATTGCTCATGATCCGGATGATGTGGATCCCCCGTCGCCTCCCCCATCGGTCACTCCTACAAGTTCCTCATCGTCCGAGTCGTCTAGTTCTTCGGCCAACCCCACTAGTTCATCCTCGGGTTCGTCCTCTCAGCCGTTGTCGACTTCGTCGACTGTGGTTGCTGAAGTTCCTCAGCTTCGTCGCTCTACTCGCTCCACTCGGGGACAACCCCCCGCGCATCATGCTGATTTTTATGCATATTCTGCTACTTCATCTATGCTAGTTCCAGCCACCTATAAACAGGCCAAGGGTATTGATCCTTGGGAGCGGGCTATGGATGTGGAAACTGCTGCATTGGAGGCTCAACATAAATGGGACTTAGTTCCTAGGCCCCCTGGTGTTACGGTCATTGGTAGTAAGTGGGTATATGCGTTAAAATTTCTCCCAGATGGTACTTTGGAACGACACAAAGCGCGGGTGGTAGCTCAGGGATTTCGGCACCAATATGGGGTTGATTATGAGGAGACTTTCGCGCCGTGGCCAAGATGCAGACCGTTCGCAGTCTTATAGCAGTCGCTGCTATGAAAGGTTGGCCTCTTATTCAACTCGATGTCAAAAATGCATTCCTGCACGGTGACTTGAAAGAGACAATTTACATGGAACGTCCTCCGGGTTATAAAAAGGGTGATAAGTCTATGGTGTGTCTGCTCCGTCGTTCTCTGTATGGGCTTAAGCAAGCTCCTCGGGCGTGGTTTGAAAAATTTCAAGCTACGATCTTGCGTATTGGGTTTGTTCAGAGTGATAATGATCCATCCCTCTTCCTCAGACGTACAGCACATGGTCTTACTCTTCTTCTCCTTTACGTGGATGACATGGTTATTAGTGGGGATGATCAGGAGGGTATTTGCTACCTTACTTCCACTTTACGAGCTGCCTTTAATCTCAAAGAGCTTGGCAGCTTATCGTATTTTTTAGGGCTGGAGTTTGACCGCTCGGCAGCTGTGATTCTTGTTTCTCAACGAAAGTACATTGCCGATCTGCTCGAGGAAGCGCAGATGGATGAGTGTGATCCATGTGGTACTCCCATGGAGCAGAACTTGAAGTTGACGAAGTCTGCTGGTGATCTATTGGCTAATGGTTCACTCTATTGGAGTATTGTTGGGAGTCTTATTTATCTTACTCACACTCGTCCCGATATCGCGTATGCTGTGCAGGTGGTTAGTCAATATATGTCTGCACCTCGTACTCGTCATTGGCTGGCTGTTCAGCGCATTCTTCACTATCTCCGGGGTACCCCGACTGTCGGTCTATTCTTCCCATCAAATGGGGAGGCAGCTCTTACTGCTTATGCTGATGCCGATTATGCAGGTTGCTTGGACACTCGTCGCTCTACGTCCGGCTGGTGTATACAGTTTGGTAATTCCTTTGTCTCATGGCGTTGCAAGAAGCAGGATAGGGTTGCTAAATCCTCTACTGAAGCGGAGTATCGGTCAATGAGTGAGGCGGCATCGGAGTTGGTTTGGTTACAACGCTTGTTTGCTGATTTTGGCGTTGAGTGTCGCCTGCATATTCGCATGTATGCTGATAATACAAGTGCGATACGGATTGCTACTAATCCAGTGCTGCATGATCGTACTAAGCATATTGAAGTCCATATCCACTATATTCGACAGTTGGTGAATGAAGGCAGTTTGGAGTTGGTCTACATAACTTCGGAAGATCAGACTGCTGATTTGTTAACCAAGGCTTTGGCTTCTGCTCGTCATTGGTTTCTAGCACACAAATTGATGGTGAGACAGCACCATCAATTTGAGGGAGGGTGTTAGAAACTAAAGGTTTAGGTACCTTTATGTAATTTGTCTTGTACATATTAGGGTTTCGGGTAGAAGGCTATTTAAGCCTAAGAGTAGCCGAATGGAGACTGGTACTGTGGATTTGTGAACTTCACACAATAAGAGATAAATCGCCTTGTGCCGTGGACTAGTCTCAACGTTCTAACATTGGGGAAACCACGTAAATCCTGTGTTTTGTGTTGATTCTCGTTCGTATTTCGGTTATGTTTGACAAATACTTGATTTTAGATACCCACTTCGAAGAGATGGCACACTTTCCAGGGGGTAAGTCAACAAGAATCCATGTGTCATTCTTCTCAAGAGCTTGTATATATCTCTTTGACCATAGCCGCTCGCTAGCGTGGATCATGGAAAGCCTTGAGAAAAGAGGTGGGTTCATCCTCACAAGGCGGGCCCATCCTTACGAGAAAAGGGGTGGGTTCAGCACTAAACAAGATTAGTGGTGCTTCGCTATTTGGAATAAAAAATTGTGACGTAGTCATCAAGGTACTTTGGGCGAGCTCGCTCGCAATCACAACGTCAAACAGGTGGCGATGAAACAGGCAAGGGAACTGGTGTCACCGCAGGAGTAGAAGAAGAGCTGGACGAAGCTGAGGCTAGACTCGAGAGATTCTCAGTGAACTGCGTCGAGGAAGAAGTGACGGGAGACGAGGGCGAAGATGGCACAAAACCTGTCGAGAGATGGGATGATGGTACACCCTTTAGTGGCCTCTCTCGCGCATCCATGGTAGGGATGGCAATTACCCACCCATGGGTAATTTTACCCAAATCCAAATAGATCCATTTAGTATGGGTAGGGTTTGGATGAAGTGTATATGGGTTTGGGGGTTTGTAGATGGGTTTGGGTTAGGTATGGATATTGCTTTCATAATGTAAATGGGTATGGGTTGGATATGGATATCCATTTACTTGAGGGTGTTTTAACTACATACACAAAATTGGACCTATTTGTAAATCTTGAAAAGTTTAGGTACCAAAATGTAAGACCAAAAAAAATAGGTACCAAAATGTAAGACCAAAAAATTTAGGTACCAAAACGTAATTTTCCATCGATATTTTGAGGACTTATATGCAAAAAAATTAAATTTAGGTACTAAATCTGCATATCTATTAAGTTTGGGTACCAAACTGTAATTTGCATTTGGGCATGGGTACAAACCCAAATCCATGTGTTAAAAATCCAACCCAACCCAAGTAAATGGGTATGGGTTCAAATCCATCAAACTCTACCCATCTACCATTTATTTGGAATCCATACCCAACCCAATTGGGTTGGATAGTGAAATACCCATGGGTATAAGCAAAATTGACATCCCTAATCCATGGTAGTATCATCCTTATCAATGGGAGAAATAATGGACGAGGAACCCAATGAACCTCTAGTTGCACGCCTTCTTGTAAAGGAAACAAATATTTATGAAAATGAACATTACGAGAGGTGATTAGGGCTTTCCATTTGGTTTTGATTTTTTGGTTTTAACCGAAACCAAACCAATTGGAAAGCTAATGGTTTCAGTTTTTTGGTTTAATTTTAAACCAATAAACAACTTAATGGTTTTGGTTTGGTTAAAACCGAAAAATCAATAGAAACCATTAAGAAACCAATAATAATAAAATTATTTATCAACAAAAATTCTTTTTTCTTTCTTTTGACACGCATGCCAACCAATAATTTCTTATGGCCATTTACCATTATTATGACGTTTATTCAATAAAAAGGAGGGAAATAGGAATAAATATGAGTGTATGAGTACATGTTGGTTTTTTGGTTTTTGGGATTTGGTTTTTGGTTTTTGGTTTTTCATACTTAATGGTTTGATTAACCAAACCAAATTGACAGCCCTAGAGGTGATGAGACGATGAGCTTGGAGATCGTAAATAGAATAACCTTTCTGGCTTGCAGCATAACCAAGAAACACCCCCAGCACGAACTTGTTCCCTGAACTTATCAATGTGGGAGTGAGTATCCTTGTAGTACACTAGATAGCCAAACACTCGAAGATGACGATAAGAGGCTGGCTTCTCAAAGAGATGCTCAGGTGTTGCCTAGCAGCAACAGTAGGTAACCAATTGACCAAATAAATGGCTATCAAGATACACCACTCTCCACATAAGAGAATTGGTAGATTAGCTTGAAACCTTAAGGCACGTGTTGTATCCATGATATGGCGATGCTTCCGTTCAACTATGTTATTCTGTTGAGATGTATGTGTGCATGACGTCTATAATAGGATTCCTTCACGAGTATAATAGTCACAAAGTGGCTCGATGTTGTACTCATAGCCATCATCGGCTTGAATGCGCTTTACTGAGTGCCCAAACTGTGTTCGAATCAGCTGAAAAAACTGCATTAAATAATGACTAACATCTGATTTGTAACTTAAGAGATAAACCCAAACACTGCATGTAAAGTCATCCACAATATTAAGAAAATAATGAGCACTACTAAGAGAGGGAATTCCGTAACCACTCCAAAGATCCACATGAATAAGTTCAAAACTCGAAGTCGTCTTAATAGTACTCGACACAAAAGGTGTTCGTGACTATTGTGCCAGAGAGCAAGAATGACAAGGCTGTTTATTGTGACCAATAGACAAAGATAACATGCGACTAATGTAAGACTTCTTGTCGGGTGAGAGGTGGCCTAGTTGAGCATGCAAGGTAGCCTCAGTAACTGAATCCGCTCCCTTAACTGCACAAACTTGCGTTCGTCCACCGCTAAAGAAACGCAAAAAAAAAAAAAAAAATCCATCACGCAGCTCATCCTTCCCAATCAACTTCTTGGAGAGTAAGTCCTGAATGACACAAAATCCATGAAGGAAAACCAGAGCCACATGATTATCCTTAGTCAGAAGACTAACAGAAACTAAATTACAATGGAATTCAGAGACGTGTAGAACACGTTGTAAAGTAAACCCGAGTTGTAATTCAACTGAACCAACAAGTTTCACTAGAATACTATCACCGTTGGGAATGCGAACAGGCTGACCACTGATACGGGACTCTTTGCTAGACAACAAACCTTCATCCATGGTTATATGCTTGTTCCACTCGAAATCAAGTAGCCATTTAGAGTCATAGGAAACAATACCTGCCATGTGAATTGCTGGATCATCCAAGGATTTATCCGAACTACCAAAAAACTGCTTCACCTGCTGAAGTTGAGCAAGAATGAAACCGGCCACGAGACTTTTCTCCCCAGCCTCCACCTGACCCGCCTTAGATTCGAAACCATAAGTGTCTCGACCAGATGCACCCAGAGTTCAGCCACGACGTTGCCTCGTCCTGTCCCTATGACGATCACGATCACGGGGTGAATACCAAATTACTTCATATCAAGACTCCCGCAAATGTCCTAAACATTGACAATGAGTGCATCGAGGGCGTTCAAGTTCACCAGCACCCCGATCACGATACGGAGCCCCACGATCGCGCTCCCCCGCAGAATGAGAGCGCTTGTCAGACTCGCTTGTAGGCACGAGACGCAATACCCTGGCCAAACCTAGCTTGAAGATCTGCCAAAATTTCACGTGCACTCTCTGCAAAAAAGAACACTGCTGCGGATCTTTTTGTCCATTGAGGTCTTAAGCCAGCCGTTGACCATGGCGTCATACCGAACCCAGGCAGCAAGCTTGACGGGATTAGTGGGCTTTGCAACCGTGCCATCGACGAAACCATACTTGTTTTTAGCAAGAAGGGAGTCCTTCATATCAAGGACCCACTCACCATAGTGTACGGCGGTAAGGACATCGCCAACTAACAAATTTCCAGGACAATCCCAATTGGTGAGATGATAAACGGATGGCAGCTCTGGGGAGGACTGACCGGCAAGTGACTTGCTAGAATTGGACGGAGTAACGATGGTAGACTCATCATCGAGACTCATGACGCATTATCGAAAGGGGATCGTCACCACTCTGATACCATGTAAAATAGCAACGGAAATAAATGAGAGACTTTGATTTACGTGGTTCTTTCCTCACGTTGTGTGAGGCTTACATCCATAGGAAGAGAGATTGATTATTACTGATGATTACGGCTTACAAGAGAGCAAGCCGTTTTATTCTCTAATACACAATCATCTAGGGTTACATTGATTGGACAAATCCTATGTAGTGGGGGGACTTGGAGTCAGCTGCCACTCCACGTACGTTGCATGAATGAACAGCAACATGGGCTCGTGACGATCATCATCTTCCACTCCTCAACCCCATAGCCGAAGTTGGAGATAACCCTGTCTCATAGCTTACCGTGGTTGATTGAATGCCGCTTTTACCATTGCAGATTGCAAGTCATACATGAGTCATTTTAGGTCAAAATAAGATTGCATACGTTTATAGAGTCATTTTAGTGTGCTTTATAGTATTGGTACTATAAAACATTTACAGCCATTAGATCATGTCCAAACTATATCAACCATTAGATTTCATTTAAATTATTAATTTATTATTTTATTTGTGTGTTGATGACCGGTACAACCGGTTTTGTGAAACCAATTACACTCTTCTTCTCAGTTCTCACCGCCGAAACCCCTCTTTCTTCGATCCTCTTCCTTCCTTCGATCCTCTCCACGCAGCTAGCGAGCAGTGAAGACGGCGATCCTCTCCACGCAGTGGGTGACGACGAGTGAAGACGGCGAGCAGTGAAGGCGGCGATTCGGATTCCGGATTCCGACGACGACAGTGAAGGCGGCGAGCAAGGGACGACGAGAGCGAGCATCTCTTCGTCGATTGCAAACGAAGACCGCCGGCGTCAAACCCACGCCCACCTCGGCCGCTTCTCTTTTCCCAGCTCGCCTTTCTTCCACATTCTCAAGGCCAATTGCTCAGCTGGGTGCTATTCAATCGCTTCTCCCGCTTCACTCCCCGCCGTGTCGGCATCGATTCCACCAGCTCGCGGTCGCTGTCTCAGGGTATGCTCTGCAGTGCGAACCCATGTTATCTGTAAGCAACTTTTTACTCTTGAATTCTATTCCATGTATCGTTTACTTCGTTCTAGTTTTTGACAGCAGTTCAATTGAATCTCTGTGCTTCCAATTTTCCCCCTCCTACTAACTTAGTGCTGGATAGGAAATGCCACGAACCAGAACAATTGACTAGTGAATTCCCATCGATAGCTAACGAAGACTCTGCACAAAACCCCTCTTCCCATCGATAGCTAACGAAGACTCTGCACAAAACCCCTCCTCCACCGCAACTTTTTTCGGTTAGTACTATCTTCTTTGTGTTTAGCTTGATAATTAGCTGCAATGGCGGTTCCTGTTGTTCCTTCACTTGTTTTGAAGGAGAATTTGCAGCATTTACCTTCTCTTCACCTTGTTTTTGCTGTTGAGGTTGTGCTTGATTTGTCTCCGTTTCAGCAACATCCTTAGCAGGCTCTTGTTGTTGTTGTTGTTGTTGTTGTTGTTCCTCAATCTTCTTCTGTTGAGGAGGAGCATTGGGTTCTTCTGTTGTTAGGGTAGAAGAATTCGAGTCTGAAGAATTCACAGCAGTTGTGGTTGTTGTTGTTGTGGTTGCGGTTGTGGTTGTTGATGATGCTTCCTTTGGTGAGGAAGCTTTGGATGGATGTTGTTGTTGTAGTTCTTCCATCTTCTTCGTGGGAGGATTGATATGATATGATATGGTAGATAGAAAGGCCGTGTTCACTGAGAAAGTTGGGAATTTTTCTCTGTTTAGCCAATTGATGAATGTAGTTAAGTTTGAAGACGAATTGAGGAAAATGAAATGTTAAAGTTCCATGATGCTTTATCAATACTACTGTTCTGCTGCATCTTGTCCCCAACCTAGGAAATGGCGGGTAGAAGGTTACAAATGTTCAGTGGCTTTTGTTTTATTTGCAAGATATTTTGGATTTTTAGTTCATCTAAAGACTTGGGAAGAAATAAAGATGGATTTTCAATATTGTCCCATTGAAGTCGTTCTTCTTGGTAACTACTTAGCCAAGTCTAGACTTACGGAAGGTGTTGATGTGATTTTGGAAGAAGAATAGAAGTTTAGCTCTGCACCTGCTTTACTTGCTAAATGATGTTTATTCTTTTTGGACAACCTTTTAGCTGCTTTCTTCACGGTTGGGGGTCGGGTTCAAGTAGAAAAGAGGAAGTAAATAGGGTGTTTCCAATTTGAGGGTTCCATCTCACGGTTTTTTTCCCGGGCGTGATATAACCCGTGAAACCTCCTGGAACTTACATTTTTTGAAAAACATTCTAACGGCACATCTCCCGGCCGTGAGTTTTAAGTTGTGAGGCGTGTTTTTTGGGTTTCAGCTGTGACCATCTCACGGGTTGATCTCACGCCCGTGAGATTAACAAATGAGCCGTGAGAAGTCCAGTATTTCAATTACACAAACACGGCTCATCTCACGGCCGTGATACTGTCGAACCCAACCCGTGAAACCCCCTGGAATTCCCCCTTTTTTTAAAAAAATCTAACGGTTCATCTCCCGGCCGTGAGATTTTCAGATGTGAGGCGTGTTTTTGAGTTTCAGTTGTGCCCATATCACGGGTTAATCTCACGCCCGTGATATTTAAAGATGAGCCGTGAGAAGTCCATTTTTACATACAAGGTGTTTTTAGTTTCACGGCTTAGTTTAACGGCCGTGATTTTTGTAGCCAAAGCCGTGAGATTGTCTGGGATATAAAAACTACTCTTTGCTTCTCACGGGTCATGTCACGGCCGTGAGAATTTGCATTTTGGGTGAAATTTAATGGAAGCTGGGTGTTTTGGGTGAAATTTATATATGCCAATGGCGGATTTCATGGTTAATTAGTGTACTCAGGTGTTGATGTAGGGGGTTTTCAGTTCTTCTGGTAGTTAGTACTTGATATCGAGGCAAGTGTGCTTGTGAGCTCTGGTATAGTCTTGCATTTGTTCAATATTGATAAAAGCCATATATTGAAAACCAGGATTGAACTCATTACCTGGAGAATGTGTTTACCGAATGATTAAATGATCCTTTTCTTGAATGAAACTTTGTCATAACCACGTTTTCTCGAATGTGTTTAAGTGTGAAAACTGAAAGTTGCTTCTTTAGATCAGTGGTGGACGACTCTGGCTTTGTGTATTTTGTTAGTACTCTTCGGCATGCTTATAATTCGTGTTTCAAGGCATGCTTATAATTTTTTTGTTGTTTTAATTTTGCAGTTTGCTAAAATTGTTCTATAATGAAGACGAAGAGTCATGAAATTTTTAGCACCCGCTGTTCTCCTAGGAAAGTATTCTCAGTAGTCTCAAATTTAGAGGCTTGTCAATCAGAGGCCATTAAGAGATGTGGCTTTGGTCGTATGCTTGAAGTCAAAGGAAGAATGCTCCAACGTGAGTTGTTGGAGATCCTTTTGAAGAGCTTTAATGTGGAAGAAAGCTCAATTCAGGCTTATGGGTTGAAAGTCCATATTTCGGCCAAAGATTTCGAGCGAATTATGGGCGTGCCTGAGGGAGGTACTGATATCATCTTGAATGGTGAAGAAGTGGGACGAAGATCCGAGGAATTGAATCCATTTAGAGTGTATTCGACAGTTGATTGTGCCCGACAGGCGATTTCGACAAGCTTAATGCGGAAGGCTTTGTCGGAGATGAAAGATAGCGGTGATCTATTTCTTCAAACGTTTATTTTGTACGTAATGGGGGTGCTATTAGTACCAACTAGAAGAGATGACTTTTCGTTATCTTCGGTATACGCTGTCCTCGATGTTGCCGATATTCCGAAGAAGAATTGGGCATCGTTTTGCTTCAATGAATTGGTCAAATGCATCTGCGACCATAATGCTGAGGGGAGAAAGTATATACCGGGTTGCTTGCTGTTCTTGGAGGTAAATAATTGCTAATCCCTACTTTCTACATATTTGTAATGATTAATCATCATGTTGATTATAGTATTTTTTTTTTTTTTTGTAGTTAATATTCTTGGAGCATGCAAATGGTATTTTCGAAACTATTGATAGGAGTTTGGATTTGTTGAGCTGGGGGAGCAGAGACGTGGAGTTATTGTTAACAGAAGTGGTAAGACTGATAGTATATTTGATTCTTTTGACGAGTTGGAGCATGCTAATGGTACATTTGGTTCCCTTTTTAATTAATTTGTAGGTTTCCAGCAGTTCGGGTAAAAGATCAGCTGAGGATGTAGGTTTGAAATCACCTGCAAGAAAACGGGAAAAAAGAGATGGGAAACGGCAAAAACCCGACGGTGATGAGCTGCTTCTCTGTGAGCGTATTGACGCTCGGTTTGCTACCATGGAGGGTAGAATTGACAACTTTAGGCAAGAATTTAGAGTTGCAATGGGTGATGCTGCTTCCAGAGAGAATGAGCTAATGAGTCGGGTTGTGAATATGGAGAACGAATTTCGGGCTTTTAGAGACGAAATTGGTAGTCAAGTGAAGTCCATTATAGAGGCAGTGAAAGCAACTATAGGTGATCCGTTGTCAAGGGAGCAGCCTACTGAGTTGAAAAAGAACGATCAGAAGGATGAGGCTGATAATGTGAAAGCTTCTGCAGCTGTTTTGTTGTCAACGGAGCAGCTTATCAGAGGGGAAAAGGGCAATCAGAAGGCTGAGGTTGAAAAACCAAGTGAACCCATTTCTCCTACCTCCGAATCTGTCAAGACTCAAGGGTTAGGTGTTAAGAATTGGGGAGAAGCTGAGGGGGAAATTGGAGATGACTGCGGTTCTGAATCTCCTTCTGTCAAAGTTGTGAAAAAGTCTCCTTGCAAGCAGGCGAAAGCGTCTAAAGTTGAGAAATTCATATTGTTGAGTGATGAAAGTGTTGCTGCTAATGATGGTTGTGCCAAGACTGTGAAGGTATTACACTTTATTAAGTTTTCTAATTATTTGTACTTATGGTGTGGTTACTAATGAACTTGTTTTGTTTTTATGTTTTTGAACAATAAAGGGGCGAAAGGGAGGTGGACTACGTAGTGTATCTAAATTGAAGCCTAGTTTGTATGTGGTCTCTCCATTCGAACGTGCAAATCCCAGAGCTAAGAAAGGACAACCTTTGTACCGTGCTCCTCCCTTTGTTGTTCAGACACCATTGACTCTGGAGGCAGTAAAGATGATTCAATTTGCTTTTAGTAGTTCGCTTCCCGAAAGGTACCTCCCGAAATCATTACAAGTAAGATTGGATCATATCTGTAGGAAATTTTTGGTATTTGCCTTATTCTAATGTTGTGGTGTTTGAACTTGGTCTTGTATAACAGGGACGTATTGGTTCGTCTTGATGGCGGGGCTCTTGAGTTGTTACGTGAAGATTTGGTCGAGTTTTTGCCCAGGACCAAAATTTCAACAAGGGTGAGTTCCTTTATGTGTGTAATTTAG